ACTTCATTTAATATCAATATAGTCCTCTTGTCGATTGTATGTATGTATATATATATGAATGTATCAATGTATGAATTTAAGGTGTAGTTAGAGTATAATCTTGGAAACCCCAACATACTAATAATAATTTTCAAATTTTAATTGAATGAAACGCTAACTTTTTTAAACCACAATTAGTTAATGATATTAAAATTATAGCTTTTTTTATTAATTTTTTTGAGACTTAAAATCCAAAAGGTTATAACGAAAACAGTTGGATTATAAGAAGATGACCCTCTCCCATCTAAGATTTGCTCTTCTATCTCAAGAGAAAAAGACTTAATTTTGCTATGAATGAGCTACTTTGTTATCCTTCCTAACACATCTTGAAATAAATGGAGTCAAACCGATTAAGAGGCATGCAACAGTTCTATTCCGTAAAGCTGAAGTACCAAGATTGACAATTGATTCTATCTCAATAGCTCTGACTCCAGCTCTAAGCCTTAGATAGCAAAAGGACGGCCTCTATTTCGGCTTCTTCCGGCAAAGCAACATGAGAACACTTGCAGAGCCACTAGCCACTATATCACCATTGAGTTTCTTAAACCAATCCCAAAGCCAATTTCTCCCATCAGCACAAGCGGAGCATCACAATCTCACTTTAAAAAACCTTCCACCAAACATTCCTTGCCAACAGAGCTCACTGACCTTAACATTTAGCGTCAAGTATAGCAGGGGCTGAACGAACACGAAAACTGATTAAATGTTAAACTTATTAGTATATTTAGCAAATTCATAAAAAAACCTGTAAATTTTTTTATTCATCTTCATATTCATATATATGTAATGTTAATTATTATTTTAATTCATGTAATCTATATAGATTGGAATGGTTTAATTTGTTTGTCTCCATTCATTATTAATAATTGTCCATTTTTACATCTACTAATTTTTAATCACGGCATTGCTCGTTGTTGTTCTCTTTCTATACTCGTTAATTCTTTATAATTAATAATAGCCTAAATTTTAAATGTAGAGTATAAGTTATATTATTTTAGATAAAAAAAATACAATAGTTAATTTACATTAGCTATATAAATAATTACAATAATACTTATTTTTGAATTTCATACAATATTGTAAAATTTACAAACATAAACTCAAAAAAAAAAAAATCTAAAAAGGTGAAAAATATATATCTTAATAATATAAAATCTTTTACATATGTCTCTTGAGTTTAGTTCCATAATAGAAGACAATTAAACAATGACTAAGAAAATAACTATAAAAAACCTTATTACTCATAAAGTAACTAGACTATGTTAATCTCCCAGAGCTTTGATCCGTGATGCCTCAAAAAAGGACAAACTATTCATCTGCAACAACAAGTGAGATTAACCGAGAGCAGCTCTCGAGGACCTCATACAGCCTTGGATGCGGACCTCGTTTTTAGACCTAACTAAACAGCTTTGATTAGTCCTTCAGCACAGAGTATAAAATAAATAGGAGATATGGACAACTCTCTTTCTTGTTCCCCTTTTTGGGATAATTGGGCCAACCTCATTCCCCTTCACTCCAACCCAGTATTTAATAGAGGAAAACACACAAACAATGATCAAGTCAACCCATTCGCTGGGTAAAAACCCAATCCCTACATAACAGGCCTGTAGACTAGCACAATTAACTCTTTTTCATAGGCTTTAGAAATATCTACTTCAGTGCGGCAAGCTCCTTGTCGAAACCTTTCATTTTCTTGTTTGCATAGAGTGATTTAGCTTGACGGCAACTAACACATTCTCTGAAATAACCGGCCCAGGACAAAATTTAAAGGTATCATTTAAAATTATCCAGAAATAACACCTGCATTGAACCAAGTGCTCAAACAACCTTGAACACATCATGATCCCAACCAATATCCCAAAAACCTCTAGTAGATAGAATCTAGGATTTAGCCCCATCCATTTCCCTGGCTTTATCCGCATGCATTGGTTTCATTGCTAACTTAGATCTCATCCAAACTTAATCTCATCCACTGAAATATCTCCATGTAGCATAGTATTATCATTGTCCGAAACCAAAGGAGAAAATAAACCCACAATAGGACTTAAGTCGACATCTCCTGCCTCAAAAAGATTAACAAAATAATCACTTACCATACCTGTCAACAAATTGCCGTCGTTTATCTACTCGCCAGTAGCATCCTTCAGCCGAAAAATCTGCTTAGATTTCTTTTGTTTTTTAGCAATGGCATGGAAGTATCTAGAGTTCATATCCCCAGATTTCAACCAAAAGGGATTTCGCTCTTTGAGACCAGAAGACCTCTTCACGGTGCAAAACATCATCAAGCTTACGCTGCACATCTTCAAACTGTTCAATATTACCATTGAACCGAAGATTCTCAAGCCGCACAGTCAACTACTTTGCATCCTGTCTAAACCGAAGCTTGAGTCTCCTACCCCAGCTCTGTAAATAGTCTCCACAAACCTTTATCTTCCCCTTACATCAATGCCATCATAATTAGTCGAACTCTCTCTAACCACAACATCCACCCACTTCAAATTCCTCTAGCCAAATATTCTCAAACCGAAAACGTTGATGCCTTTGATTTTTGATTCTTGGAGAAGTAAGAATTAAAAGAGGAGAGTGATCAGACTTACTTGAGACTAGGTTCTGAACCTGATAATTAGGAAAGTGATTCTACTAAAAGACGTTTCCCAAAGCTCCATCCAATCTTTCCTCCACCCGATGTTGACCTCTACTGTGAGCCCAAGCAAAAGGGTAACCCGACATTCCCAAATCAACCAGACCATAGTCAGCCACAGTATTCGAGAAACCCTGTAATAAACATGAAGGATGAGGAATACGCCCTTTCTTTTTTTCAATGAACATTAGGTCATTAAAATCTCCACAAATTAGCCAGGGAAGATTTTCCAACCTAGCTAAGGAGTGACGAACATTCCATGAAACTTGCCTACGGTATCTTTCCAGCATTCCATAAAAGCCAGTAAGGCACCAAATAAAACCTTCAGTTGTAACAATTTTCATATCAATAAAATTTGGAGAATAACGTATAACTTCTAAACTAACTTGAGAATTCCACAAAATGGCTAAACCACCACGGTGTCCCACAGCATCCACAGTAACAACAATCATAATGAAATCTGCATCAGGCTGTTCAATTTTATTCAAACCAAATAAAGTTTCAGATAAAAAAATAACAGTTGGCTTATGACATCGAATAAGTGCATTAAGTGCATTTACTGCTCGAGGGTCGCCAAATCCTTGACAGTTCCAACAAAGAATATTCATGGTTGTGGGTGGGCCTGGGTCTCAGGTCCCACCGGAATAAGGAATAACATCTGAATGAACTCCAAGTACTTCATTAAGAGAGTCATCCACAACCTCCATATTTGTTACTACAGAGTTATGCAAAATATAATCACATTGTCAACCCTGGCCATTTTTTTGCCTTCTGCCACAAGCATCGTTTCATCTTCATTTAAATTCTGGCCCAACAAATCAATTACTCCACTTGCAGAATCCATTGTCAGAAACCCACCATTCAGCCCTTTTTCAAATAAATTAGCTGTAGTGGAAAATGGTAAGTTGACTTTCAAATTTAAAGGATAATTCTTATCCTTTGAACCACTAAAATCACGCAACTATATAGCAGCATCGATCACGGAACCAACATATGGATTATCTGAAATTTTGTTACCATTTTTGTCATCGAACCAGTGCCGATCATCCGCTGTAGCACCTCCTTGCTGGACGTTCGCCCTCAACCAATGATCCAACTCCTCTCCACTTCGCCGTCGACTTGAAACAACACTTCACAGATACTGTCACTATGACCTAAGTGACCGAATATGAAGCAAAACATGGGGAGTCTTTCATAGGAAAAAGTCACAGTGAAGATACTTTCGTCTACCCTCCTCATTTTCTTCCACCCTTTGAGCGGTTTCCGAATGTCTATAACAACTCGGATTCTCATATACTCCCTCCTCTCCCTATCTTCTTTACCAGTGTCAAACAAAATAAATTTCCCAACGAAATCACCTATCTGCTTCCCAAATTGCTCAATCATCATACCTACCGGAACTCCTTTGATTTGAACCTAGAGCAATTCGACAGTTCATGGATCTTGTCCAGGTTTGATCTTTTCAATCATAAAAAACAAGTCATTTAAATCACACTCGATATGAACTTAAGATCACAAACGTCTAAAAATAATTAAAATATGGTTAAAACATAATTAATTCCTTAAATTATATTGAAATTAACACTTTGAACATAACTATAACGTCCTAATTATGTAAATAATTAAGTCCTATATTTAAAAAATAACTATAATGTCTCTAATTTATACTTTTTGTACAAAAGTGAACTTTTTATCGTTAGTAATATACACTTTTAAACAGAATATACTCATTTTTTTAAATGAAAAGAGATCACTTTTTGATGAAAAAAATTTAATAAAATATAATTTAAGAATGTCATAATTATTTCTTAAATATAGAATAACTTAAATATTAATTTGAATATAATTTTGAGATCTGGATATATTTTACCCTTAAAATATTCGTTTTTAACTGAAAGTCTATATATTTTGGTTTTTATCTTAGTTGGCACAACTTTATTATAAATTTTTTAACAATACAATTTTATTGTCAACCTAAAATATTTTAAAAAATAATAATAATTATTAAAATTATTGATGAAATTATATGCATATTTGATCCATATTTAATTGGATATACTTTTATTGGATCTGATAATCCTAAAACTCATATCAGCCCATTTCTTACCTTCTCTCTTCCGCTAGACATATTTTCTTCATCCCTCTCTCTAAATGGGCGAGTCTAAATGAGACCAAATCCCTTCTCGCCATCGTCAAATTTGTCCCAAAGGCTCTATCCAAGATTGGGTCTTTCGCTTTAATCTCATAATATTATCCAAGATGCTCTTAACTCCAGCAGATCCTTTACTAATTTTCGTTCATAGGTATTGGGTTTTTTTGATTAGCGTTTCTTATAGTATTCTTACCAGTACACACGCCAGAGGTAAAAGCAAATCTTATTCATTCGATAATATTGATGATGCTTTGGCTTCTTTCCATTTGATGCTTCATAGTAATCCCTTACCGCCTGTTATGGAATTTAATAAATTATTATCTGCACTTGTTCGAATGAAACATTATGCGACTGTGATTTCTCTTTACAAACAGATCGAATTGTCTAGAATTTCTCTCAATTTACATTCTATAAGTATTTTGACTAATTGCTTTTGCCATCTGGACCGCGTGGATTTTGGGTTCTCTCTTATTGGGAAAATCTTCAAACTTGGCTTTCAGCTTGACATTATAACGCTTACTACGTTAATCCATGGGCTTTGTAGAGATGATAGATTTGATGAAGCTGTGGAATTATTTGATGAAATCGTTGAAAAAGGGTATAAACCTAATATTTATACCTATACTGTCATTGTGAACGGTCTGTGTAAAATTGGGAAAACCAATGTGGCCTTTGGTATTCTGAGAAGAATGCTCGAGGAAGGTTGTGAACCTGATGTGGTTGCATATAATGCTATCATTGACAGCCTTTGTAAGGATAGATTGGTTAATGAGGCATTAGAGCTCTTCTTGGAAGTGAAGAGTAAAGGCATCTCTCCAAGCATTGTGACCTACAACTCTTTAATCTATCATTGTGACCTACAACTCTTTAATCTATGGTCTGTGCAATTCAGGCCGATGGGAAGAAGCTTCTATGCAGCTCAATGAAATGTTGGGAGTAAACATCACACCAAATTTAATTACCTTCAATATATTGGTTGATGGTCTTTGTAAGTGTGGAAAGTTTTCAAAGGCTTGTGGTATAGTCAAATTGATGATTCAAAGAGGAATAAAGCCTAATGTTGTGACTTACAGCTCTTTAATCTATGGTCTGTGCAATTTAGGCCGATGGGAAGAAGCTTCTATGAAGCTCAATGAAATGTTGGAAGTGAACATCGCACCAGATTTAATTACCTTCAACATATTGGTTGATGGACTTTGTAAGGAAGGAAGGGTTTCCAAAGCTCATGGCATAGTCAAATGGATGATTCAAAGAGGAATAAAGCCTGCATAGTCAATTTGTGAATTGATTCAAAAAGAGGAAATAAGCCTGATGGGTTGTGACATATTAAAACTCTTTGATGGATGGATATTGGATCTACTCAGTCCAAATGGAATCAAGCTAAAGAGAAATTTTTTGAACATGAATTGCCATAAGCAAGGGTTATTTTTGACATGATGCTAAGCAAGGGTTATATGCCTGATGTTGTTACCTACAGTATCTTGATTGACTGTTACTGTAGGAGAAAAAGGATAGATGAGGCGATGAGGCTTTTTGATGAAATGCCTAGGAAAGGCTTGATTCCAGACCATTTCACATATAATTCTCTTATAAGTGGCTTGTGTAAAGCAAAGAACCCTCATGCTGCATATAAGTTTTTCAAGAACTTGTGTGCTAGTGGCCATTCTCCAGATACGGTGACGTACAACAGTTTGATAGATGGCTTCTGTAAGCATAGGTGTCTAGATGTGGCATTGTCGCTATTTCATGAAATGCAGAAAAACTCATTGAAGGCTGATATTATTGTCTATAGTACCTTAATTGATGGTATGTTCAGAGTTGGAAAAGTTGAAGATGCAAAGGAACTGTTTTCTAGACTGTCCATAGAAGGGTTGCAGCCTGATGTTTTCACATACGCTATAATGATCAGTGGCCTTTGTAAAGAAGGATTACTAGATGAAGCATTCAAGGTGTTCAGGAAAATGGAAGGGAATGGTTGCTTGCCAGATAGTTGCTCTTATAACGTGATCATCCAAGGATGTCTCCGGTGCAATGACTCGTCCATGGCAAACCAACTTATTGATGAAATGGTTGGCAAGGGGTTCTCCGCCGATGCCAGTCCATGGCAAACCAACTTATTGATGAAATGGTTGGCAAGGGGTTCTCCGCCGATGCCACCACCATGGAGTTGGTAATGAATTTAGTTTTGAACAAGCCTGATGATCCTCTTGTGCAAAAGTTGCTAAGCTGCTCTAAACATTCTCAAGTTGTAAACTTGAAGTGAGATTTTAGGATAGAACAACTGTTATACTGTTGCAGGAGGTTTTTCTCATATTTCTAGTTATGCCACTGCAATTTGTCTTGAAAACGTGTTCTATTTTCTGCAATTCAATCTTTAAATGATGATTCAATTCAGTATTTTCTGCAATTCAATATTTGTATCAGACTCCTGCATATTGCCTTAGCAATAGTATCTATTTACAATTGCTTCATTGGATACACATATGAAACAATTCTTCCTATCTTAGTTGTAGAAGATTAGTTCATAATTACACGTCTAGTGTTTATGCATACTTAAAGAAAACTCAAGTAATATAGAAAACATATTCATTGCTTGAAAAAGTAAAGATGAACTTGTGTTTGCAAAATATTCGTTTCATGTATGTGCTTAGTGATTGTAGTTGTTAAAATTATACTTAGTGAATCATTATGATAAATGATTCTACATTTACAATTATATTAGTACTTTTTTTTTGTCGTAAAAATTTGAATATAACTTTTAATTTTTTATAAATAATTATATTAAGTAAAAATAAAAATAAAAAAAAATCTAATTGAACCGAATTGATTCAATTTAATATCAATATAGTCCTCTTGTCGATTGTATGTATGTATATATATATGGATGTATCAATGCTTATATGGATTTAAGGTGTAGGTTTAGAGTATAGATCTTGAAACCGTAAACATACTTAATAATTTAATTTTTCAAATTTTGTAAATTGAATGAAACCGCTAACTTTTTTAAACCACAATTAGTTAGGATGATATTAAATTATAGCTTTTTTTTTATTATTTTTTTGAGACTAAAATCAAAAGTTTATTACTGAAAACCAGTGGATTGATAGAAGATGGTACCTCTTCCATCTAGATTTGCTCTTCTATCTCAAGAGAAAGAACTAATTTTGCTAATGAATGAGCTACTTTTGTATCCTTCCTAACTACATCTGAAATTAAAATGGAGTCAAACCGATTCAAGAGCATGCAACAGTTCTATTCCGTAAGCTGAATACCAAGGATTGACAATCTGATTCTATCTCAATAGCTCTGACTCCTAGCTCTAAGGCCTTTGAGATAGCAAAAGAGACGGCCTCTATTTCGGCTTCTTCCGGCGAAAGCACATGAGAACACTTGTGAGAGCCACTAGCCACTATATCACCATTTGAGTTTCTTATAACCAATCCAAAGCCAATTCTCCCATCAGCACCAAGTATCCCATCAAAGCACCAGCGAAGCATCACAATTCACTTTAAAAATACCTTCCACCAAACCATTCCTACCAACAGAGCATGCTACCCGAATTGGCCGCTGTTGCTGTCCCTTGGTAATCAGACGCAATAGAAATCACAATTCACTTTAAAAATACCTTCCACCAAACATTCCTACCAACAGAGCTGCTACCCGATTGGCCCTGTTGCTGTCCCTGGTAATCAGACCATAGAAACAAAGCTTGTCCCACCACCTGCACTTCATTGAGCTTCTTTAGTTGGAACAGTAGCACGTTCCTCTCCCTCCAAATGGACCAGGATATCATATACGAAATTTCCATCTGCTCTGGCTGAAAATTTATAGAAATTGACTTGATCCACTCCAACGCCGACCCTGCATTCGAAGATGACCTTAGTCTCAGTGGGCACAAAAGCCAAATTCATTGATATTTTGGGCAGTTAACGAGCATATGAAGTGTCGTTTCTTCCTCCTCTCCATACCAATCACAAACAGAATCCACATCAGTTTTCCGCAGGATCAGTTCCACTTTAGTTGAGAGTAAATTTAGACAACTCGAATCATAACGTGTTTAGCTTTGGGCGGAACATTTTGTTTCCAGAGGAGCTTCCAAAAGGAGTTATTCGAAAGCACAAATGAGCTAGCAATGTCGCACAAAATTTTTGAATGAAGAGCAATGTGATAAGCAGTTTTAACAGAGTAAAGGCCATGTCTAGTCCTTGGCCATGTGAGGAGGACAAAATTCCGATTCGGACTAAGAGGAATACAAAATTCCGATTCGGACTGAGAGGAATACTGCAAATCTCCTTTATGAGATTCGAAAATAAACTCAATAAGGGTAATATCCCAATAACCCGTTTCAGGAACGAGAAGCTCCTGACCTGTAACATTAGCGTCAAGCATAGCAGGGGCTGAATGAACACGAAATTTCGGTTGCCTCAGTGACCAATTATCCTTCCATATTCTAACCCTTCTACCATTTCCAATAATCCATCGAGAACCCTTTTGAATTAACCATCTTGCCTCCATCAGACTCTGCATGAAAACTTCAGTCTGTATCCCAATTTTACATCCATAATAGCTTTTAAAAGTACCTATTTCCCTACTTTTGAGAGCGTTCGCTCTTTCCATCCCTTTAGTTTTTTTGTAACCCAATCAGCAAGATTGCTAAACATTATCATCTTGTTTCGCCCAATAACACCAGGTAATCCCAGATACTTGTTGTGTCATTCCACATGCCTTGCACCTATTTTATTCCTGATAACTACCTGCAATGGACCAGAAATATTAACAGTGAATGAAATCTCAAATTTTTTCAGATTCACCTTCTGTCCGAGCCCGTCCCTAATCATTAAGGATGGAGATCAACCTATCCGCCTCTGTTTGAGATGCCTGAGCAAACAGAATACTATCATCAGTGAAAAACAAGTGTGAGAGATGGATCTCTCCGACAGATTTTAATTCCATGGAATTGTCTCGCATTTGCTGCTTGCTGGATGAGACTTGAGAAGACCTCTGCACAAAATAAAAACAAATAGAGGGATAGTGGATCACCCAGTCAAAGCCCCCTTTGTGGAAATAAGGTTTCTTAAGGTTCACCATTAAGTAAAACGAAATAGGACACCGTAGCACACACCGTATAACTAAACTGACCCAACTCCAACTAAAACCCATTTTTAACATAGTTTGCTCAAGAAAACACCATTCAACTTGTTCATATGCCTTGCTCATATCTAATTTAAGTGCAAAATTCCCGTTCCTACTAGTCGTTTTATTTTTCACATAATGGAAAGTTACTAATAATCAAATGACCTAGAACAAAAGCGGACCAAGACTCATGGATGGTTTTTGGAAGAAAAGTTTTCAGCCTATTAGCTATTACTTTAGTAATTTTTTAATATCACATTACATAGACTTACAGGGAGGAAATCTTTTATTAAAATTAGGTCTTTAATTTTTGGAATCAAGATAATAAAAGCGTGATTAAAAGACTCTGGAGATACATCCTTATTAAGGATACAAAGAATTTTCTCTTCGATAGAGGAATCAACTGATGGGAGCGGGTATAAAGCGGAAACAACCCTCATCGAAACCATATGAGGCAAACTAAAACATTATCGAACAAATCAATAAACTGACCTGAGCGGGTATAAAGCGGAAACAACCCTTATCGAAACCATATGAGGCAAACTAAAAACATTATCGAACAAATCAATAAACTGACCTCTTGAAGCACAAAATCGCTCACCGGTCTTCTTTCCAGATATCTTGGAGTCACCCACGATCTTCTGCAGTAATCCCTAATAATCCCTAACTATCTCTCTGAGTGGCAGAGAATAGAATAACGTGCGTCTCTCTATTCTTAGGGTTTTCAAATCTTATATTAAAAAAAACTCTCTTCGATAGAAAGATATTTTTTTTTAATATAAAATAAATTAAATAAAAAATTATTTAATTAAAATAATTATCAATTATTATATATTCACATTTTGCAATATTAACATTAAATTTAATTAACATCTTAATTAGTTCTAAATAACACAGGCACAACAGGACCTGCTGAAATAAAATTAATAAGGCTACTTTATAATAATAATGTATCTATACAGTCTTTAAAATATTATAATAATAAATTATGAATTATTCCACTAAAAATTCATAGTTGAACTTCTTATTAATTTCGAATCTCCTAACATTTAAATATATAAACTCCCCGTGTTAAGATTACAGATATTTGTCAATTAAATTAAATTACCGACTATTTAATTTAATCAACAATTTAATTCCTCAAGAATTTCACTTAATTTATTTCATGCATCGGATACAAAATCCACCTGCAGGGTTTTACACAATGAAAACTTATAAGTTTCTCAAGGGATATCATCAATCACTATACTGAGACGCGAACTCTATCAATAAATTGATATTTCCCAAATGCATATTGTTATTGTTCAATTCACTGAGTTTATTGCCCCATAATGACCAATATGAAAACTCACCCTTTAATGAAATCAAAGCACAAGACATCAATGTTTGCTCATATTAAAAATAAATCAAGATTAAAGACAATAAACATTATTATCTAATTGTCCTAGAAGAATATGTTTAACAGTCAGTACTAAACATCCAATTCCTCCTACCTTGGTCCAATTAAATACATAACAAAATGTACTAATTGCACAATTATTGTTCATAAGCCTAATAACATTTATTTAATGCAAATATTTCCAATTAAATACAAAGAAATAATCGTCAATAGAAAATCATTCATAGCTATACTATTACATATGCATGGTTAATAGTATATCTCTATCAATTTCCCACTTAGACTCATAACCATGCATCAATAACTTTAACTCCCATTCCTTCTACATGACTGTTAAAAGCCTTTGCTGGTAAGCTTTTTGTAAAAGGATCTGCCAGGTTGTTTTCCGATGCAATCTTTGTCACTACCACATCTCCCCTTTGAACCATGTCTCGTATCAAATGATACTTCCTCTCAATGTGTTTTGCCCTTTTATGGCTCCGTGGCTCCTTTTTATGGCTCCGTGGCTCCTTCGAGTTTGTGGCAACCTGCCCCACTAATTTAAATCACAATAAAGTGTAATAGGGTCAATTTTGCGGCAATTGCACTGAAGAAACTACGCCTAGATCCATAAGGAAGTTCCTAAGCCATACAGCTTCCTTTGCAGCTTCAGAAGCTGCCACATATTCAACTTCCATGGTGGAGTCAGCAACACAAGTTTGCTTAATACTCCTCCAACTTATGGCTCCACCTCCCAAGACAAAAGCATTACCAGAGGTTGACTTCCGAGAGTCCTTATCAGTCTGAAAATCCGAATCTGTATACCCAATGGGTACAAGATCGTCAGATTGATAAACTAACCTATAATCCCTAGTCCTTTTCAAGTACTTGATAATATGCTTGACTGCAGTCCAGTGTTCTCGCCCAGGATTAGATTGAAATCTGCTAACCATGCCAACAGCAAAACAGATATCAGGTCTGCAAAAACAGATATCAGGTCTGGTAAGCACAACATTGCAATACATAAGGGCTTCCAACTGCAGAAAGCATAATGGAAACTGCCTTTCATGTTCTCTATCTCCTCAGGTGTCTTAGGACATGTCGCTATTGGTCCTTAGATAGAGTGATTCCATGTCTGAAGGGAAGAAAACCCTTCTTGGAATCCTGCATGCTGAAACGAGCAAGAATGGTATCAATAAAAAGTGCTTGAGATAAGCCAATCATCCTTTTCTTGCGATCTCGCATAAGCTTAATCCTAAGAATATGAGCAGCCTCTCCCAAATCCTTCATATCAAAACGTTGGGACAGCCAATCTTTGACAGAATTCAACATACCTACAATTCAACATACCTACACAATTCCCTATAAGCAGAATATCATCCACATATAGTACCAGAAAAACAACCTTACTACCATTCCATTTCTTATACACTCAAGACTCATCATGACACTGATCAAAGCCAAAACTTTTAATCACTTGGTCAAAACAAGTATTCCATGACCTAGATGCTAGTTTAAACCCATAAATGGACCTATTCAATTTGCAAAGCAAATTTTCTTGTCCATTGTTTATGAAACCTTCTGGTTGCTTCATATAGATACATTCATCAAGACTTCCATTTAGGAAAGCTGTCTTGACATCCATTTGCCAAATCTCATAATCATCCAATAATAATCATAATGAGGCTGCATGGATAGAAGAGTTTCTAATAGACTTTTAAGCATGGCTACCCGTGAAAAGTTTCCCTCATTATCGAATCCTTCTTTCTGAGTAAACCCTTTCGCAACAAGCCTTGCTATAAAGTTTGCAACTTTACCGTCTATACCCCTCTTTTTCTTATAGATCCAACTTGCATCCGAATGGGTTTAAACCCCTATTTCAGGTGGTTCCACCAAAGTTCCGCAGACTTGATTAGAGTACATGGGAACTCCATCTCAGATTTCATAGCTTAAACAGCCACTTATCAGCATCTTTATCTTGTGTGCTTTGCATGCGTAACAGACAGGGTTTCAATATTCACTTCTTCAGGGATTCTATGCAAAAGCTTCTCCAAAAGTGGTATATCGAACCGGTGGGTCGTCTAATTCTGCCCACATCGACGAAAAAGTACTACAGGTTTCTTGCAATCACACCTTCATCTTGCTGTGGCTGTAAAGCCGGCAAGTCCATTGACTGGTGGGACCTAACAATCTGAATCATGGTTCCTGGAACTATTCAACATGTCCTGTCGCATCACCAGGAGGCAAGAAGTTAGAAGCCCCAATCATTTGTGCTCCTGTATATTTTGGATCAACAGCTGGCCGCACTTTCAGTTTTCCGCCTACATAACTCCCACTACTTTCAGGTGGTAGTGAAATGTTAGGTACTGAATATTCAGGCGATGTTGACAATTTAACTGGTCGACTAACATTTCTTCGCACTACCGACTAGGCTAATGGAAAATGTCAGCTCCAACCATTTGGATGGTTTAGGTTGTTGTTCTATTGGAAAGGTTATAGCTGTATATTTTCTCCTCTCAAATTCCATACAAGGCTAATTGACTTTTGGGATTATGGTTTTTAATATAGTCCCTTCATCAAGATAATGTGCAATTGGTGCTAGCCCCCCCCCCGCCCCACTCACCCCACCCCCCCCCCCATACAATGAACCGTTTTGTCCTTGTGAGAAACTATAAAATAAACCACCTTTTCGTTCCTCTAGGAAATATCCAATAAAGAAGGCATAAGTCTGTTTTTTGATTCCAAACTTATCTGCTTTCCCCTTTTCAGCACATGGGCTGGACAACCCCACAATCCCGAACCATTGTCCCTTGACTTGGCTTTTCGCCCAGTCCACAGTTCTGTAGGAGTTTTAGGTACTGACTTAGATGGAACCAAATTCAGAATATATGTTGTTGTTTCTATGGCATACCCCCAAAACGAAATGGGCAAATCTGAATAACTCATCATTGATCTAACCATATCCATAAGCGTCCTATTTCTTCTTTCTGCTACACCATTATGTTGTAGCATACCAGGTGTAGACAACTGTGAAGTAATTCCTTATTCTGATAAATAAGTAATGAATTCTCTAGAGAGGTATTCGCCACCACGGTCAGACCGTAACGACTTGATATATTTTCCATGTCGTTTCTCCATTTCTGCCTTGAACTCTTTGAATTTCTCACCTGCTTGACTTCTTTGAATTTCTCAAAGATTCAGACTTTAACCGGCGCAACAGGTAAATGTATCCATATCTTGAGTAATCATCTGTGAAAGTCAACAAAATACTCAAACCACCACCCTAGCTTGGACACTCATTTGGACCCACACCAAATCAGAAATGAATTTAAATTCAAGTACATCAATTAGTTCTATTACCCCTTTTATAGGAAAAGGCCTCTTAGTCATTTTAACCTTCTAAAACAAGATTCACGAGGTTGGTAGTTGGCCTTCACTTTCAATGAACTTCAATGGGTCCATCCTTGACCAACCAGAAAATCCTATCTAAAAATAATATGACGCAGCGCTTAAAATGCCACAAATAGGTATGAACTAAATTCCAATAGGACGTTTTCTTTCAATGGAAACAATGACATCAAAGTTATTTAACCTTCAGAATTACGAATTTGCAGTTCAAGGTGAAACTTTGGAGAAATAAAAAAGATCATCAATCATTGAAGGCAGAAACATATATCAATTTGTTTTCTAAATTTAATTCCGACAGAATCATCATAAAATTCATTAAAACAAACCCGAATAAATCATTCTTGCTCAAACTAGAAACTGAAATTAAATTCCTTCTAATTTGAAGGTTACATATAAAACATCCCTTCAAAAACAATGTTCTATTATTCTTCAAAAATTCAAAAGAAAATATTTCCTTTATAGCTAGAACTGGCAACTTCTGTGCCGCATCTCCCAGAAAATGCTGCTTACATCTCCTTTATTTAGCTGACGAGTTACCTGAAACCCCTGCAATGAATTGCAGACATGATTAGTGGCTCCAGAATCTACACACCATTGGAGTATAGTCAACACCGCTAAACAAGTTTCAACTATCAGCACATAAAACAAAGACATACCTTGCTTCTTCTTGGCTAACCATGTTGGACATTGTGACTTCCAGTGCCCAGGTTGCTTGTAGTGAAAACACTTACCCTTAGGCTTTTTCACAGTAACACTTGCACTAGTAGATGCACCACTTGTTTTAGGCTTAGCCTTGTGAGCATTTTTCTTCTTCTTACCCTTATTCTGGGCAGAAGAAGAACCTCGCTCAACCTCGCTCAAAGCCATTAAGCACAACAGGTGCAGCTCCTGTTGCTTAATGATGGTCTGCAGCAGCCACAGCTCATTCAGCACTTAGACAGAAGTGAAATCCATCTTATTCATGTTAATCAAACGAAACTGCTGAAAACTGGCTGGCAAAGTGTTCAAGATCATTTCTATCTGTGTAGCATTGTCAACCTCAGCACCAAGAACCTCCATGTTATTCAGAAGACTCATCATCTTCAAGACATGAGTTCTAACTGGGGTCCCCTCCTCCATTTTGGAAGTAAGAATCTCCCTCAGTGCGTTTTGCCTTGCTGCACTAGTTTGATCTCCAAACATCTCCTTGAGATTTTCGAGCATGTCAAAAGCTGTGTCCATCGTCTGATGCTGATGTTGCAAAACATTTGGCACAGAAGCCAAAATGTAACATCGCGCCATCTCATCAGCTTTAACCCATTTCTGGTAAGCTCTGGTGACCTCCTCAGAGGCACCCTCACCGGGTTTTACCCCTCAGAGGCCCAACGCCTCAACCAGGTTTTTCAGGACAAACTTCAAGTAAGCCACAAACTTATACTCCTCAAGCAGTAAGCAAAAATGTCCAAATTCTCTTCCAGGTGCAAACATAGTTTGGACCTCAAGTTTTGGTTTTGGGTTAAGATGTTTGCAAGGGGACTGAATGAACATGCCATTTCTAATATCATGCATTAAACAAAAATAGCAATATTCATAATAACATTGAATAAATCAAAATTGCAAATATACAACAATTGATATCACAATTCCAAAAAGAAAAAAAAAATACACATTCACAACACTGCATGAATAGCAACCTCGATGGGAGGAATTCAAACCCAATCAATGTTTTGCATAATTAATAATTAGATAAGACCCGGCACATACTACTCGATGGGAGATAACATGCCTGCCTTAAAATTAAACATTAATTGTGTGGAGAAAATTTACATCTGATTCATGTCACTAATTAATTTACTAGAGTTAAATCAATACAGACAAATTAGACTAGTTCAGTAATTATATTAAAACATGACATCTTCCGATGGGGAAGAAATGCAAATAATTACAACTAGAAAATAAAAAAATTTTCGAAATCATTTTCAGGAAAGAAAATGCTTTGCAAAGATGGAGGATTTCCAAAGCTTGAAGTCCTCAAGCTGTGGGAGCTGGAGCTATTAGAGGAATGGAATATGGAAAAAGGAGCAATGCCTAGTCTGAAACACCTAGAGATTAGACACTGCATAAATTTGAAGATGCTTCCTGATGCACTGCGATGCATTGACACCCTCCGAGAAGTAGAACTAACAAAAAAACAGAAAAATTCTGGGCCATTTCGCAAATTTCAGAACTTGTTTGGACTATTTTGCATAAAACAGAAACTATTGGGCCAAAATTACAAAAGAAACTATTGGGCCAAAATTGCAAAAACCAGAAATAGTCTAGGCAATTTTAATAAAACCAGAAACAATCAGAGTCACTTTATAATTTAAATAACTCCAGGGGACCAAAACGGAATAACTGATACTTTCTGGATCAAAATATAAAAAATTAAAGTCCAGGGGTTAACATATAATAAACAGAAAGATTCAGGGTCAAAAAAAAATTAAAACTTAAAGATCAGGGGTCAAAAATATAAAATTTAAAAAAATTGAGGGACCATACGGGAATTTTGGCAAGCAGCAGCTTCTTCTTCACGAAGAAGCCCTAGCCGCCGCTGCCCCTTTTCCCTTCAACCTCCATTTACTGATCTTTTCTTTTTTCTTTTTTTTTTTCGTCTTTTCTTGCCCCTCTCCTGTTCATGAAACAAAACCCAATATATATTTATATACTATATTATATATTATATATTAATGCCCATTAAAAACCACAGTTTCAAAAATAAAGGTTGTATCAGGTACTGCACTTTTGTGCTGCTGTCCTTCAAAAACTCTTGAAGCTTTTGTGCTACTGTGACAAACTTTTAATTAATATGTGGCACTTAGATATGGCACGAAGGGATGGTGGACATGGACTAGGGCTGCACGTGGGTCTGAATTAAAGTACTTGACCTATTGTGTGGGTCAATAATTTTTTTGACCCAATCCAATCCAACCCATTAAATGCATGAACCCACAGGTTATAAACGAGTTAGGTTAGGTATGGGTCCAACGTACACCCGTGGGTTAAATAAATGAAAATAATAAAACTATTTTTAAACAAATTACAATTGTTTAAGAGGATTACTGTAGACGCTCAAATTTTACCCTTAAAAGGCTTAGTGATGATAAATTGTTTTGCGTATAACTTTGGATCGAGATTCCAAATCGCCCTGGTTTTCGTACTAATGGTTCGTGGCTGAGATTATATATGTGTTTAACCATTTTTACTTTTTGGATTACTGGGCGTTTCGTGATGAAATCGGGCCCGAGAAGCGCATCGGGCTTGCCTGGCGCACTTTTAGGTGTACTACCACATTTTGCATGCCATCCGGTCTAACTTAGTAAAAATGAGCCCGGCCCTATTGCGGGGATTGCGAGTGGCATTTTGCCACGTTAGCCCTAAATGGGGCCACCCACCCTCATTTGCCTATAAATAGGCATTTGGGGGGTGTGCCTTAAGGTAGGATTTTTTAGACTTATAGGGAAATTCTTGATTTTCCACAACATAATAAAATAATGTTCCCCATGTTAAGAGATGCTGTCATTTAAATAACTTACTGACAATTTATTTAAATCACAATATAACTTTAAGATTGTCGCTCAACTTATTTCATTTATTTCATGTGTCGGATTCAAAATCCACCTGCAGGGTTTACACTATGAAACCTTATAAGCTTACTTAAAGTGCATCATCAATCTCTAAACCGAGACATTGATTCTATCATTAATTAATATTTCACAAACACAAAAAGCTTTGCCCAATTCACCGAGAATATTATTCCAATAATGAAACTCATCCTTTAATGAATCAAAGCATAAGACAATCAATGTTTGCTCATATTAAAATAAATCAAGATTAAGAACAATAAACATTATTTCTAATGTCTTAGAGAATATGTTTAACAGTCATTACTAAAAATACATTCTTTGAATCAATTTGCATCCAAACCTCAGATTCATTGGAATCCGGTATCAGAATTGGTTGTGTATTTCTTTTTTAAGCTATGTTTCCATCCACTTCTCCCTATGGCATAACATTTATTTAATGCAAATTTCCAATGAAATACAAAGAAATAATTGTCAATAGAAAATCATTCATAGCTATACTATTACATATGCATGGTTAATAATATAACTCTATCATCAACAACATGCCAAAATTTATGAAAAAGAAAGGAGGCATACCATTGATTAATATTTCACTCACAAGAAACTGAAAACTCATTACTGTAGCTACATTTTCTCTCAATTCGTTCCATTTTTGTATCTGGTTTCTCGGTCTCCATAAGGAACAATAATTTGGGACCTTTTTTTCTTAAAAAGCAATTTTAGTTGACAGATTGCATGGGGTTCCCAAGCCCCCTAAAATTCCAGGGCAGGAGACTCACAATGCTCGGCGGGACCTCCTAACAGTCGCAGCTGTTATTTCTATGAAATCAGGTGCGTGACATTTGGTTTTCTTGTAAATGGGATCGATCTCCATCTCTGACAACTACACTACATCTGTCTCTCCCTTTCACTTACCAATCATCAGAGGAGAAGCAATATTTTCAATTCTGCTTATATTCCTAACCTTCCATTTCTAGCTTGTCGTAATTATTTTTTGGGCACGAGAATCGATCGCCAATACTGACCTCAATCAGGTTGGATAAAGGCATGGGAGCATGAGGGGGAAAACAGACACGGTGGCTGGCACGAAATTTTGGGGTGGAGTAACTAATGAATCGGTGGGGGAATCCAAAATCGACGAAACTAGGTCTGTGAGTATTTAGAACCAGGGATAGGGACATTATGCTCATAATCACAGAAAGAGAAGGACAAGGCTGGAGGGGTTGTGGGCTGGTTAGGAGAGTTGTTTGTGTAGGTGAATAGGTTGCAGTGTATAAACTAACTGGACAGGTTGTGGTGCAAGGAATTCCTGAGAAGGTGTAGAATGGAAGGGCTATGGTCGAGGTAAAATATTCACATGGGTGGGTGTTGTAGCATTTTGAGGTAAAATTGGATTTTGAGCTAGAGGTAAAATATATGTTTAGTGAAATTTCAGTTACTTGGATTTGAAGTGCCTGGTCAGTGGTTCAAGCCTGAACATGTATGTCCTTGGCTGGTTTAGAACAGTATCTTCCAATATTGAGTCAACCAACCGACTAGTAAGAGATCCAGCATGTTCTTCTACGTGATTGAGAGCTACCTTAGGAGAAATAGGAAAAGTTGGTATTGGTTTAAAAACCAACTTTCTCTTGGGATCCATGTTGACATTAGTAGAAAAAGTTATTTTACCACTCCGTCGCGAAGGGGACACCCTCAAACTATCACTATAAAGTATCAATATTGAGTCGTCAACTGTAGTAGTCTCAAAGTCATCATATTGCTTAAATGAATGGCCACACCTACCACAGGTATAATAGAAGGTAGGCAAGCCTTCATACTTTAAAGGTACCTATATAGTGTTTCCCGTGAGCTTGATAGATGTACCCTTGAGGAGAGCTTTGGAAAGATCATCAGAGACTCTAAATCGAATGAACTTTCCCCAACCCTTGTCATCATCCTTAAACCAATCCAAAAACAAACCAACATTCCCATCAATAAGTTAGTTACCGACTCCGTCATACATCGTAGTGGGAGGTCATATGCTCGAACCCATAGACAAGAGTGAGAAAATTTATGGTTGATGGTTGCTCAGTACCCTCAACTTTCTTCAAAATGAGAATATTCCTCTCAAAATGCCATGACTCATTCTCAAGCGCAGACTGTATATCTTTCCCATCGGTGAATTGGAACAAGAACACATCCTTGCCCCACTCCCTGACAACAACACCATGCCAGGGAATGAGTATGTTCGGACCACTGGTCCAATAATCAATCTTGTACTAGTTGGAACAGATCTTAAGATATTTGCGCCTAGATAGCGGATGAAAATCATGCCAAGTACTCTAGTATGGTGAGTTAGATCTTTAAGGTCAAATCATGCCAAGTACTCTAGTATGGTGAGTTAGATCTTTAAGGTCATGAAACATTCCATCATCAACAACCAGTAAATGCAATTGGAGTTTCAGCAGGACATTTGCATGCAAGTGTACCGGCAGTTTAGGAGTATTATGATCCTCAAAACCCTGAATTTAGGTATATTTTAAGTTTCGACTAAGCTGAGTCAAGTTCAGACAATACCTAGCTGAACTAGCTGAACGTAAATCTAAATGAAATGTTAAACCAGACAACATCCCTACTTACTTTTTTTTAAAAAAAAAATTATAAGGCTAATGAAATTTTTGCTTGTCAATTTTTCTA